GCCCCCAGAGACACGAAGGCAAAGTTATGAAAACAGTCCCCTTTACATAAACCCCAAGATTCTCCAGCTCCAATCCTTAAGTCCACAGCAGCTCAGAAAGGAACCTAAATCTAATCTGTTCAGTTAAAAGTAAAATTTCAGACTTAATCCTGCCTCTACAGGCAGCCAACTAAATTTTCCAGCAGGCAAAGCCCTCTTCTCATAGGAAAGTTCTCTTGAAAGACTCACACCCAGTGTGGGAGACTCCCTTTCTTGGGCCAGGCTCTGAATTTGGATCCCACAGCACAGGGATCTACTCAGTACCCCAGGCATCTCCCTTCTTTCCCCCTGTGCAGCTCTCTTCCTGGCTTTCCAGGCAAACTGCGGGGCAGCCGGGTGGCCAGGAGGGCATCACTGGGGAAGGGCAGTGAATGCAGCTGCAGCCAGAACCCAATAGCACAAGTCACGCAAAGTCACACTTCGGGGGAGATGCAGAGCTGCTTTCCACCCCTGCACCTCTGAAACAGCGAGACAGGACAACGCTCCGAAATCTTAGGGCTAAATAACAGGGACTTTGCTGATTACTGGCATTTGGTTTTTTAAGTAAGCAGACAGTTACTTTTTCCATCCTTGACAAAGTCTTGGACTAATGCCTTAACCTCAGGGGCATCAAAAGAAAACAACAACAACGATGACGATGGAAAGCAAAAAGAAGCGAGTAAGAAGAATCACATATAAATCAAATCAAGAGCAAAGCACAGCCCCAGTAAGCAAATGAATTACCATTGTCATTGACCAAGTTATGCAGAATTACCACGTGTCGTGACACGCAACAAAGGAGATGGGGTAAAAAAAAAAAAAATTCTATCGTGCTTTTTGTTTTGTTTGAATACGGCCATATCACGATAGCTTTCTAAAAGCTTGCCTTTCCTTCTTTACCTGTGACCTGAACCTCAAACTCCAACGCGGGCTACCTTTCAAACAGACACCCTGTCCAAGAAAAGGTGGGAAAAGAGGATGAGGAGCAGCCAACGTCCAGTCCCAACTCGCTTTCAGAGGCAGCATGGCTAGTATGAAAAACACAGTAAGGGTCACACTGGCTGATAATGGAAACAATCGAAGTGTATCTATCGTAAGGAACGCCTCTCCTCTGTTACACTGGATATGTGATGCTAGACATTGCAAATCTAAGATATTTTGTTTGAGCAATAAAGCTTTCAGTGCTGTTCTCAAGACCATCGGGTTTCCCCCTCCCGCTGGCTAAAAAGACCACTGCCAGGGAGCACACTTTCAAGACCAGCCCCAGCTGTGGGTTTGAAAGTGGAGATGGAGAGAATGCCTGAGCAGTATTTGGAGCACAGAGGGAAGTTTGATGGGGACAGAGGGAACCCTGTAGTGAATGGGTTTCACCAGAATAGACTGGAATCCGTCCAGGGCTCCAAACAAGATGAACTGTGTCTGCCCAGAACTGACAAGTACAAATATGGGGGAAGACCCCTGTTCACATCTGACAACTTACTTTGTGAACGCTTGGCATCCTGTGCCTCCAAAAAAATTGAAGGGACTGAGACCCGTGCCATTCCTCCCCTCCAGATCTGAAAAATCTCGGGTGCAAAGGCTAGGGTACAAAGAAAAGGGGACAGGAAAATCGGAGGCACAGTCACTCTCTGGAAGGGCATGGGGGGCGGGGGGGAGCATACAGTGCCCCGTTGCCCATCTCTGCAGAGCTGGGGAGAAAAGCAGACGGCACTGTGCCAT